TGTGTGTGTGTGTGTGTGTGTGTGTGTGTGTGTGTGTGTGTGTGTGTGAGAGAGAGAGAGAGAGAGAGAGAGCTCGCGCGCTCGTGTAAGGAGAGGGCACGTTTACTTCAGCAAGTGTCACATCAAAACAGCGACAAGAAGTTGAGAAGACGCCAACAACGCTGCAAGATGGAGGTATGATATTATTTAGTGTGCTTGCGTTTCAAACTGTTGTTGTTGCCTTTTTTTTTTTACTTCAAGTTTATTTCCTATACTGCTCTTCACACGTTGTCTGGCACAAAGTAAACAAAAACTTGTTGCATTTCAGCCCATGAGATGCCACGAGATGATTCAAGATGGCAAAGCATCAGCAATTATATATGTCATAGAAATAATTGCTTTATACTATAGTCTGTTTTCGTTTTCTTACTGAATACAATTTCATTACAAATGATATTATCAGCAATTTGAGTACAAATCTAAAGAAAAATACAAAAACATTTCAATATTTTTTATATTGGTTTATCCCATTGCTTTAATGACAACAGCACTAAAGCTGCATGAATTTCACACTTTTGTGAAAAACTTTGACTGTTGAATATGCCGTATTTTGAACAATTTCGAAAATTCTAAAACTTGTATTTTCAGATTCAAATTAGATTTTGAATTAGACTTTTGTACTCCACTGTATGCATAATATGTTTGTATTTCACATTTTATAGTTTTTAATTTAAGAGACTTTTGGGTTAAATGAGTTGTTAGTGCATATATATATATATATATATATATATATATATACACACACACACATATACATAGCTGTGGCAATATCTTTCAGATTGGCCAAGCCACCTGCAAACCTCCATCGATTTACATAACCTTGTTTGCAGAGGCTGCTATCATTACTAGCAGATTTATTGTTGTGTTTGTGCCAGTAACTCTGTGAATTGTGTTTGACCAGTGAATCCTGTTGACTTGACACTGCCTCGCTTACATGTCTCAAGTTAGAAAGAAAGTATGACTGGAATGGCAGCAAGCTAACTGACACAGGAAGTGGTGTAACCTCATCCATATGACAGATTAAAATGGCGGGTTTGGATGGTGGACCCACGTGCTTGTGTTTGCAGATTGGAGGTTTTTTGACAATTGAATGTCAAGTTTGAATGCTCAAACCACTTTTTCCATCTCTGAACATTTTTGAGTGATCATAGAAAAACAATTGGCTTGCAAATAGACAGCTTTTTTTTAAGAGCTTTGACAACTTGCTATATATTTTAGTGCAGTTTTAGTGACTTGTTGGCAAATTGTGAAATTTTCCATAGGTTTCTAGATGTTTTTTATACTGTGACCTACATAGGCTCTATATATTATAGATCTATCTATATATTTTGCAAATGTTATTTTAATAAAATCTCTAAATATCAGTGATTGTTTGAGTTGTACATAACAAAATAAATGCCTACAAATCCAGTAGTTAATTTTGTCTAAAATAAGTGTGTTTTTTTTTTCATGAAAAAAATTAATACTTTTTTAAGAGATACCAGTACTTAATGTTTATTAATATTTAATGCAGTTCTTTTTTCATGCAAATAAGTGCAACTGGAAACATCTGAAAATTAATGGGTTAAAGTCACTCATCAACATTAATAGTGTGCTGTATTTGGTGCTTTATCATGTTAGATATGTTATAATAACTGATCATGCAGACTGAGGGAACAGTATGGCGCTGCACAATATTATAGTATAATAATTCAAGCTACATTTAATGTGCTGCTGCTTCTTGGAAAGTGAGTGTATAACATACAAAACAACTGACTGTGCATGTGCTTCTATTGTCTGGTTCTGAAAATTACATTGTGGTCATGAGAACTCAAATAGTCATATGGCTATGTCAAATAGCACAAATCTCACAAACAAGACAAAATAAATTGATTTCTCAACTCATTTCATTCTGATAGTCAACTTTTGCATACTTTAAGCCAGAGGAACCATTCTCTGTGAATATATTGTGAGCTGAACCACATGTAAAGATGTATCTTATACAAAATCTTGGCTGCAAGAGGAGTTGTGAAGACTGGATTGACTTCATCGAAAGCTTGTCCATTTCACAGCTTTGTGTTGGGTCATATTGACTCTCAGAGCACTGTACCGCATGGACGTCGGGATATTTAAGTTGATTATCTCCTGAATGTCAGCTATGTGAGCATGAGGGTTAGTGTCAGTCCCACCTCAGCAGCTGTTAGAGCAACGGCCCTCTCTTTTCAGAGCGGTACGCAACCACAGAGTGTGTTCATAGATGAGACAGAGCGATTTAGAGAAGGGAAATGTTATTGCAACACGACATTAACCGACATTAACTGACTACAACAAGCTTCCTCCCCAAAAGGCTTGTATATTTGGTTTGTTATTTGTACTGGAGAGTGTTCTGTGCATTTAAGAGAGCGATCATTCCTTACCTCATAAAGAACTTGCAGAACTTTGTGCTGGGAGACTGTGAGAGCATATGGGTGTGAACTTGTCCCAGCCACCCTTCAAAATTCAGGGACATGACTTCATTTGGAGTATTAGCAAGTGATGTAAATGTTTAGTGCAGGACACAATGTCCATGTCTTTTCCATGCCATGATTTTCAAGTATTGTTTGATTCATAGTCGTTCCAATCAATGAGACCTTGTCAGATAATGTCAAGTGGATGCAGGTTGTCCTGTCACAGGAAGTGGATGTCTATTGTGTAGATGGAGTCATTACATACTCCTTAAACACTGTGTGACTGATTCAAGACCTGGACCCTGATGGGATCTGGGTGTGAGGTGGAGTCCGTCATCATAACTCTCTGACTCACACCAGAGTGTTTTGCGAAGCCTCGACTTTTCCAGCACACCATCCGCTCCAAGTATTCTGAGCCAGAATATGAAGTCATAGTACTGGGGCACTTTTGGATAGAGATCACTCTACAGGAACGTGATTGTCTTTGAACTCTGCTGCCTTTAGTAAAGAAACGGTGACTTAAGACATACTCTATACGTGACGTGACGTGACATGTGGCCAAGTATGGTGACCCATACTAAAAAGACCGTATAAGTCATTATAATCCATAATTATGTCCCCACTGGGTGCAATGAATGCCTCGTTTATAATGGGTTTTCATGTTTTTGAGTCGTCGCTCCGGCCGGACAGGGCATCATCACAATATGGTAAAGGGCATAACATTTCCGTCACACGCTTCATCGCTCAGATCCCGGTTGGCTGGCAGAGGAAGATGGAAGCTGGGGCTGTATCTTACATCAGGTACGTCCACACCTTACTTTTTGTCATTCATACCGTATTGACCCGAATATAAGACGATGTTTTTTTCTTGGAAATACATCTGAAAAAACGCGTCGTCTTATATTCAGGGTCTAGACTTTGACATGTCAATAATACACCCACAACAATAGGTGGCGCCAAATACGCATAAAATGAGTGTGCCATGAAATGCGTAATGTAATAATGTAATGTGTGTTGTAAAGATCGTTTTGAACCTTAAACCGCATAAACACATTTCTTTACACCAAATACTCAAAATAATGTTCTTTTTAGCAACATCATATGACCCCTTTAATAATTATTAATTTTAAGTTGTTTTTTTTTGAGGACTCTTAAAAGGATTGTTCACCTAAAATGCGAAATCTGTCATCTTTTTTTGGAATGGAGGTCAGTGGTCACCAAAAATGTGGTTACCAACATTCTTCAAAATATTTTAAGAGTGTGAACTATCCCTTTGAGTTTAGAATGGACTTCATAATGGACTGGATATAATGTATATAATATATAACCTGTAATGGGTGTTGAATTTGACATCCCAGCTCAGGATAGTTGGTAGTTGGTAGCCAAGGATTGGCTCTGTGCTCGTTCTTGTGGTGCCATTAGCCACTCAATGTTGTTACAGTGTCATGGATATTGAAATGAGAGCCTGCAAGCATAGAGCAAATCACAACTAGGGTCCTGCACCAGTCCAGCTGCCACTGAGATGGACGATGGCTAGGACAGACCTCTTTGAGTTGACCCCTCATTTGCTCAGTTATGAATTTCTTTGTACTTATTCCCACTGTGCGTCCCATGCAGCAATGCTGAGAATGCAGTTTGTAACTCTACATTATAAAGTGGATTCTGACATGTTTTGAAGAGCAAAAACGCATACAGTTGAGTTTATGTAAGTAGAAGTGTCTGCGTTCACGGCCTTCTGTAGAACAAGTTTTGGATTATATAATGGAAATTCTCTCTTTCCTCCCTGTTCATCCTTTCATATTAGGGGATGTATTTCAGTGTAAATTGAATCATGGCTGCTTCCTCATGTCCTTCAACCCTCACACGTACAACAGTTTCTTTGTGGGACACTAATAAGATTCCATTTTCCACTCTCTGGGTCACAATCAGCAGCGTGCACTGGTGGACTTCTAAAATGAGGAGCGTGTTTGGGTTGAGTTTCTTTATTTTTTTAACATAATGATTTTAATGTTTCAGTCACATTTGATGTTTTCACAGTTTCCGGGTTAAAGACAGATGCAACACCATATAGACGTAAAATGATACTTAGAATAATCACATTTTTATATGTTTATATTAGTATTTATATTAAACCAGGTCACATCAAAGGCTCTCTACTGTTGAAAAGCTTAGGGTCAGTAAGATTTTTTTAATGTTTTTGAAAAAAAACCCGTCTCTTATGCTTTATTTATTTGATACAGTGAAAACGGTCATATTGAGAAATATTATTGCAATGTAATTTATTCAAAAAATGTTTTAATGTAATTTATTCCTGTGATGGCAACACTAAATTTTCAGCAGCCATTACTCCAGTCCTCAGTGTCACATGGTCCTTCAGAAATCATTGTAATATGCTGAGTTCATATTCCATATTAATATTTTATATTATTATCAAACATGAAAACAGTTGTGCTGCTTAATTCGAGTAAACATTTTGGCTCACACTTTATTTTAAGGTCCAATTCTCGCTATTAACAAACCATTAACTATGACTTTTGCCTCAATAAACTCCTAATTTGCTGCTTATTAATAGTTAGTAAGGTAGTTAAGTTTAGGTATTGGGTAGGATTAGGGATATCTTTTTAAGTGCTAATAAACAACCAATATGTTAATAATAGACATGATAATAAGCAACTAGTTAATAGTGAGAATTGGTCTCTATACTAAAGT